CTCTCTCTCTCTCTCTCTCTCTCTCTCTCTCTCTCTTGCTCTTCCTCTCTGCCTTCTGCTTTCTCTGGTAAGAGTGAGTCATACAGTTGTGCAGTGCATATATGCATAGTACATTCGTTCATGTTTTCATCTTCAAATTATAAAGCAGGATTAGCATGTATTCTTCACAGAGAAGGCTTGATGAAAAATTAAATACTGTATATATACAGTATATCGTGCACACATGCAGTCAGAGATGGGTAGATTCTCTCTTGATACTTTTCTTGCATAGCTGTGTACAGATGGTGTAAAAAAGGAGCATGGTACTGGCATGTTTTTTTTGGACATGCACCATGATAATAGCATGCTTTTATGTGCATTTATTATGGTAATATCATAGTTAAACATCAGCAATGTTAGAAGTATATTTACCTTGGAGTATTGCATGCAAGTACTATTGTCCAAAAATATGCTAGCAAAAGGATATTGTACTTTTCCATGCTTTTGTGTAATATAACATTACCATGGTCAAAACTTGGTCGTACTTAACTAAATTTGTCACATGATCCTTGACCTTTTGATCTTAAGAGCAACCATACAGTACAAAAGCAACCATGCAGTCACATAATTTATATACTCGTGTTTATTTAATAGTTTTGATGACTTGTTTACATTGTTCCAAAATGTGAACAATAGTAATAAAGGATGAGTTGGCGTGTGCAAACTTGAGTTTGTATTAAAATACCTTGATATTATCCTCTGATACAATACTGTGCATTAGTTTTGCTAAGGGCTGAACAATTAAAGGAGACATATTATGCCCATTTTTACAATATGTAATATAAGTCTCTGGTGTCCCCAGAATGTGTCTGTTAAGTTTCAGCTCAAAATACTCCACAGATCATTTATTATAACATTTTGAAAATGCCTATTTTGAGTGGAAGCAGAAACAAGCTGTTTTTCGGGCCACCAGGGACGTGATTATAGCACTTAAAACCTGGAAAAGTCAGATTTTCATGATATGTCACCTTTAAGTAAATAGGGCTTAGTGCAATAGGCCGATATCTTATTGTATAGGTTGTGATTTTATTAAATTTATTTAATTTTATTTAATTCGATAGCATGTTTCAGAGCAACACTGTGTTCATTTACACGTGAGCAGCCAAAGTAAAAACTTGATGGTTTAATGTTTGAAAATGATCAAGTCAGACATAAATATTAGTAATTTTTTACAGTTGTACTGTAAAATAAAATTATATATTTTTTCTTAAATACTTATTTTTAATTTTTACAGTTAAACAATATAATGGTAATATGTTTACATTTAATCAATATTATTATTATTATCCTCTAGTCATATTGATATGTTATCACGTTTTGGTCATATTGGGCTGCCCTAAAAACAAGCACAGCAAACCTGAAGCTTATTATTTTCCTTTTACACTTGAAATCATAATTGCAATTTTTGTGAGAAAATTTGCAATTGTATTTTCCCCCAAATCGTGCAGCCCTAGTTTTGCTCTCTATATGTTGCATTTCGATTCTCATGTATTTTCTGACCTGCAAACGTAAATATCAAAGTGCTCTTCAGAGTAGAGTTTCCCATCAGCTGCACCTGTGCATGAAAACGAATGCATGTCTGACAGGTTACAGTAATTAACCTTTAATGACTTTAATAACCAAATGAGCTGCTCGTCTGGCCACTGGAACTGGATTGACTGCAGGTCTCTAAAGTCAACTGTTGCGTTAGAATGAATCATGATTGATTGGTTTCACTCTAAAGCCCTTTAATGTCAACCCTAACAACTGGCTTAAACCATGACTATTTTCATAATCTTGCACAGCCTCTCGTACCTTATTTGCTATTGGCGAATTTCGACACGAGTCTGTCTGGAATGATAATTTAGGGGATTCACACCTGCAGGTGAATGAGGTTCTCACTTTCAAAACGTTGTAGCGTATGTTCCTGAATTGTGGAATCAGATCCCCAGTTGTTCAGATCCTCGTGATTCCCATCCTGCGTGGTGATCTGTGCAGTGTTTACTGACTACTGTTTATGTAGGGTTGATGTAGGCATCTGCTGGGACGCTTTTTTGGGTGGTGCTGCATCTTTGTCAGACCACAAATATTTCAATGCTGCTTATTCCAGCTTTGGTCACCGCCCTCCAAACACACACTGTTTTACAGTCGAACAGAACGAAGAGCGTTTTATCCAGCATGTGGGATGGAGCCGGGAATTCCAGCAGAATATTTTCATCAGATGACCTTTTCCTCCAGATGAGGGCTGTTCTCTGTGCATTTATTCAAGGAACAAAGGCTTGTTTGAGGACTCAGTTGCTACTATTAACAGAGTTTAAATGTCCTTTCTTTGTGAGAGCTCTGTTAAAATGAGTTTTCCTTGTTCAGATGAGATCCAGTCTTTTGAAATGGTGATTGTCCTTTATACTAAACGTATAATATTCTGTCTCGTGTCTGTTGAGTTTTGCAAACAGCCCTAAATGAAAATAGTTGATGATTATTCAAGTTGCTGTTTTTAAAGTTTTTTTTTCCCCCCTCTCACCAACAGAAAAGTACCAAAAAATAAACCACCTTTTTTACTCTGTTAATGACCGAATTGTGTCTGTTATGACAATGACTTTTTTTAAACTGGTGATACCATATTTTAAAATTTATTTGTATCTTTATTTGACCCTCTAACACTCTCTATTCTAATTCTATTCTTAAAAAAACTAAAAAAAACATCTTGCCCCTTTTAGACTTGCACTCTATCAGGTCAGATTAAACCACAAAAAAACAATTATATATATATTCAAGAATCAGCTAAAAACACATCTCTTCCATCTTTATTTGACGCTCTAACTCTAGCACTCTCTATTCTAATTCTATTCTTTAAAAAAAAAACTCTTGCCCCTTTTAGACTTGCACTCTATTCATTTACTAACTGCTTTCTTTAAAAGAGCTAGCTTCTCTAATCGTTTTGTATTCTATCTGTTTGTTTTCTTTTTATTTAGGGTATTATACAATTAACAAAAGCAAAAAAGCCTCTAAAACTAGCTTGCTCTATTCTTTTTCTATTCTATATGTTTTCTTTTTTATTTATTATATAATAAAAAAAAACCCTTGCCAAATGACTAAATGTAACTTGTACAATAGCAATAGCATGATTTTGGGTGTGGCATCATGTCAATACCATGTTCTAAAATCTATCATTACAATTACATATTTTAAATTGCACCATGTCAGTACCATATTTTTTGAGTTGTACTATGGCAATACCATGTTTTTGGATGTGATTCGATGGTGATACCATGTTTTTGGATGTGATTCGATGGCGATACCATGTTTTTGGATGTGATTCCATGGTGTACTTGCACTATGGTAATACCATGTTTTTAAACTCGTAGAATATCAATACTATATTTTTTGGTGGTACTATATTTTTTTTCATGGTACCATGGCAATACGGTGTTCTTGACATCTATCATGACAATGAATGAATGAATAAATAAATAAATAAAGTTGCATCATTATAATACCATGTTTTTTTGGATCTGGTACCATGGTAATACCATGTTCTTGATGGCTATGGCAATGGCAATGCATATTGTTGTTTTTATTTTACATTTTTTACTTGCACCATGGTAATACCATGTTTTTTATTTATTTTTGATCTGGTACCGTACCATGTTCTTGACATCTATCATGACATTGCAATGGATTTTTTACTTGCACCATGGTAATACCATATTGTGAATGTTTTTTTTTTCACTTACAGTATGGCAATACCATATCATGGCAATGGCATGGTTTTTGTACATGCACTATGGTCATACTATGTTTTTTGGATACGTTACCATGGTAATAGCATGTTTTTGGCATTGCCTGCTGTAAAGTTCATACTCCCCAGGGCAGTGTTGCCTTTGTATTCGAGTTATCAGTCTAAGCTTCTTTCTATTGTCATTATTTCGTATCTCACTTTGAACATTTTTCCCAGAGTTCTCGGGTGTGGTACCGTTTGGTTCCCCGATGTAATATTTCAGATCCGATGGTTTCATTACCTGATTCTGCCTCTTTTATTATACAGCACAATGAAAACCCTGCTTCTATTTCCATCAGACTCACACAATTAGCGGTCGATTAGTGTTTCACTCTTATCAATGAGCTGTGAGATTTCCGTCATGGGCGTGCTGAGGAATGTAGGTCGCCGGGTTTAGAAAAGCTGTCAGTTTTTAAGGCGTGGGACATAAACATCTGAGAATGTGAATGATATCACCTGACCGGTCCTGTTGTGCTGTTAGCCGGTGTTTAGTCAGCTGAGAACACGTGCCAGTGGCAGTATTGTCTGAGTCTGAAGGTCCTACTGATAGTTCGTGCAGCTCTTCTTGTTTTGAGTGTGCAGCTCAGAGCCCTGTAATTACTTTTTCCACAAGTCATTTTCCTGTGAGTCTTTGAAAAGAAAGGAATAGTTTCTTTACATGGTATTTTCCATGATAGAATGCTAGGCCAGCTCACAACAGATGCACAGTGAATCTCAGTAGATACGTCCAGGTCAACATTCATCACAAAATCAAAACACACATGATAAAAAGGAATTCGGTTTTAAACATTAAAGACTCTTTGCACCGTTTTCAGGGCTATTAAGCAAATTTCAACCAATTTTAAGTTAATTAGTAAATAGAAATTTTAATTTATCTTTAAAAAATCTACTTGCATATAATACCTTCATAAATATAATATGTAATATTAATTCATAAAAAGAATGCTGAAAAATTTATCACAGTTTCCACAAAAATTATAAGCATCACAACTATTTTCATAATAATCAAAAATGGTTCTTAAGCAGAAAATCAACATATCAGAATGATTTCTGAAGGATCATGTGATAATTTTTTGTGGAAACAGCAATACTTTTTTTCAGGATTATTTGATGAATTAAAAGTTCAAAAGAGAAGCATTTTTAAATGATTTCTGAAGGATCATGTGATAATTTTTTGTGGAAACAGCAATACTTTTTTTCAGGATTATTTGATGAATTAAAAGTTCAAAAGAGCAGCATTTTTATTTATTTATTTATTTTTATTTCAAATAAATACTGTTCTTTTGAACTTACTATTCATCAAAGAATCCAGCAAAAAATAAATAAATAAATGAAAAACCCCAGACCATTTTCTAGATTGATAATAATGAAATAAATTACACTTTACAATACATTCAAATTGAGAACAGTTATTGTTTTCAATTTATTTTAAATTGAGACTTAAACAAAAAAAAAAACTTTAACAAATCTTACTGACCACAACATTTAAATGTAAGTTCACTACCATGATGCACAAATTATTGTTTCCCCTCTTTCACATACAGTCTTTTTTGTAAATGTAAACATTTGTCAGTTTAAGGAGTGTCAACAGAACCTGTAGTTAAAATGACGGCCATCTTAAGAAGTTTTACATTTTAATTTTTGATTAATTTTTGTTTTTACATGGATGCTGTGACTTATGAGTCAGACTGAATTCACTGGTTCTTAAAAGTCTCGTTCACTTCCCTTTGAGAATTCATTAGTGTGATGTTCATCATCATTTACAGCACGCCATTGATGTCTCTTCACCTGCCACAATATTTGCGTTTTGAACATAAATGCTAACATGTTTAACTTGTTTCCTAAAACACACAAAGACACGGCTGTGTAAACACGTGAAACCCTTACCGAAATTTTACATGTGGGAAAGCTGGCACATTCATAGCGCTTAACGTTTTCTATAACATTATACTCAGTTGAGCTGTTAACTGAAGCTCTGTGTGTTGCTGTGCAGGGTTTGTCTGGAAAGACGGAGGAGGTGAGCAGCACACGGCCAGAGACGCCAAGCACACTGACGGAGGTGGACAGGGAGGTCAGTCTGGACACGTATCAGATCACGCTGGAGGAGGTGCTCACCTGGCTGCTGTCGGCCGAAGACACGCTGCACATGCAGGACGACGTGTCCGACGACGTGGAGGAGGTCAAAGACCAGTTCCACACACATGAGGTATATGTGACACACAATAACACTTCATAAACGTTGTTAGCATTTAGAATGCTAAAAAACCATCATCTCTTTTTTCATTGAATTACTCAGGGAGATATAACATAACAATATAACATTACTGTGATTAAAATAAACAAAAAAAGTAGATGGGTAACGATGAATAACAAACTTTGATGTTGGCTTGACAAAGCTTTGTTTGAAAGTTTGAAATAACTTTGAAACGCTTGAAGTTGGAAGATTTTACTCAATTCTCAAGTCAGTGAAATGTTATTATTATTTTCTACCACATTGCTAAAATGTTTAAATAAGTTACGAACATGATTTAACATGCTGTTAACATGTTAGCACATTGCTAGAATGATTTAGAATGTTGTTAACATGTTTTAGCATGTTGCTAGCAATATTTAGCACATTGCTAGCATGATTTAACATGTTAGATTTAGAATGTTGCTAACATGTTGTTTTATCATGTTTAGGCCTGTCACGATAACAACTTTTTGTTGTGCGATATATTGCCCCAGAAATAATTGCAATAAGCGATATTATTGTCATTTTAAAGACCATTTTATGACACTGAATATATAATCATAATGTAACAGGCTAATGCAAGAAGGCCTACACACTTCCAAATGAAAACAAACTTTTAATTTTTAAGAATATTTAGATAACGGAAATTAAGTATCAAAATATTAGATAGGCCTACCTTAAAAAACTTGAATAAATAGTAAATAAACATTTTCTAACAAAAAGTGCAAAGTAAAAAGTAGAGCCCGACCGATATATCGTTTTGCCGATATTATCGGCTGATATGAGCCTTTCGCCGATATATCGGTATCGGCGAATATGTCGCCGATATGACATTTTTTTTACAGAACATATAACGCAGATAAAATGCTTGGAATGGCGTAATTACTTAGTTTGTCCAGCAGAGCGCGCTCCATGTTTTGCTACTTTTGACCTGGATGAAAAGCTTTAAAGCTTAAGTCTATGGAAAAACCATTATATGTCTAGAGGCCCGCTTTCGAATGAGACCACCCCCGCGTCGATAGCCCCCGGGGTCGGGAGTTAAGGGTGGTTAAATTCGCCGACCGATGAAGCGATCCTGGGGGGCTACTGACGCGCGGAGGGTGGCGTTCGAGAGGGCTCCTCGAGCCGAAGGGATCCCCCGAATTTGGTGGAGATCCACTGGTGCGTTCGCGAGATAGTGACACCAGCCAACACTTTCACTTCAGTAAGGAGGTCTCTTGTTCAGGTGCAGCAGCATTCAAGCATTGTCTTATTCGATCGTAAGTGCCCTGCGAAGTGGACTTCACATGAAATTCCGCCATGATTCCAGTTCCAAGGGAACGTA